AGGGGAAGCGCTAGGATCAGCGCCCCTTTCTGCCTATCAGCACTTCTCCGAGGCCGGGAGAGCTCAGGGGAAGCGCCAGGATCAGCTCCCCTTTCTGCCTGATTGGCGCTTCTTCCGGAGCTGATCCTGGTGCTTCTCCTGAGCCCCGAAGAAGCACCAATCTCTTGGAAAGCGGCATTGATCCTGGTGCATCTGCTGAGCCCTGAAGAAGTGCTTATCACCTGGAAAGCAATATTGATCTGGGCCAGCACACTCACACACACCAAAACACGTGCAAGCAGTTACAGCTGAAGGCATTTCAGCCTTCAACTATGGCTCCCAGTCCTCTGGTGCTTCATTGGCTCAGGCCAGCCGTCCGTCAGAATCTATGTTCTGTGATTGGCTAGCTCCCTCAACGCATCCCTCTCTTGCAGCAAGGGTTTGGCTCTTCATGCCGGCTTGCCCCCTCACGGGGCTCCTGATACTGTAGGCCTCGCTAGCCGAGAAGGCACACCGGAGTCCCGGCTGCCAGTAAGGTGATTGATCCACTCCTCTCCCATTGCCCACTCTGCATGGCTCTAGCCTGGCTGGAGCAGCCTTGGTGCTTCCAAAGGTGACCACTTCAAAGTCACACGAGCAGCCCTCGGCCGCTCCCCTCCTCTCCATGCCTCCAAATCGATCCCCAGTCGGAGAGAGAGAGAGGAGGGAGGGAGGAAGAGAGGGAGGGAGAAAGAGAGAGAAAGAGAGGGAGGGAGAAATAGAGAGGGAGAGAGAGAAAGGGAGAGAGGGAGGGAGAGAAAGACAAAGAGGGAGAAAGAAAGAGAGGAAGAGAGAGGGAGAGAGAAATACAGAGAGGGAGAGAGAAAGAGGGAAAGAGAGAGGGAGAGAGGGAGGGAGAGAGAAAGAGAGAGAGGGAGGGGAAGATAGCGAGAGAGATAAAGAGAGGGAGAGAGAAAGGGAGAGAGAGAGAAAGAGGGAGAGAAATAGAGAGAGGGAGAGAGAGAAAGAGGGAGAGAGAGAAAGGGAGAGAGGGAGAGAGAAAGAGAGAGAGAAAAAGAAAGGGAGAGAGAGAAAGAGAGGGAGAGAGAAAGAGGGAGGGAAAGAGGGAGAAAGAAAGGGAGACAGAAAGGGGGAGAGAGAAAGAAAGGGAGAGAGGGAGAGAGAGAAAGAGAGAGAGAGGGATAGAGAAATAGGGGAGAGAAAGGGAGAGAGAGGGAGAGAGAAAGAGAGAGGGAGAGAGAGAAAAAAAGAGGGAGACAGAGGGAGAGAGAAAGAGGGAGAGAGAGATTAAATTAGTAACATGGTTGTTAAGTGAATCTGGTTTCCCAACTAACTTTGCTTGTCAGAAGGTTGCAAAAGGTGATCACATGATCCTGGAACAATGTGACCATCATAAATATGAATCAGTTGCCAAGCATCAAAATGTAAATCACATGACCCTGGGGATGTTGCAACGGTCATAAGTGTGAAAAATAGTCATAAGTCACTTTTTTCAGTGCCGTTGTAACTTTGAACAGTCACTAAGCAAACTGTTGTAAGTCAAGGACTACCTGTACTTTATCACTTTTTTTCCATTTTTTTTTGGTCAAGTTTTTGACACCTCACTAGGTGACTGGTGGTACTCAAATGTTGCCATATTCTAAAAATGATACAATCGGTGAAAAGGTTGAAAAGCCCTGATCTAAATAATATTATCTGTAGGAGTGAATCCACTGTTTTTCCAACAAGATTGGAAAGACTTTTATTTTTAATGTAATGGTGTAATAAATTCTAATCCAGGAACTCTCGGTTTCATTGCTAAATTTTCTTTCCATCTTACTGCTTATCTTTAAATCCAGTTTGTTTTTGTGATTAATCACTATGCTTTAATTATGTTCAATTTGTAACAATGAAAATACATCCTGCATATCAGATATTTACATTACGATTCATAACAGTAGCAAAATTATAGTTATGAAGTAGCAACAAAAATAATTTTATGGTTGGGGGTCACCACAACATGAGGAACTGTATTAAAGGTTTGCGGCATTAGGAAGGTTGAGAACCACTGCTTTAGACAATGCTTTATTTCTAAAATTCTTTTTTCCCTCAATGGATGTTGACCTTTCATTGAGAGCACTGACGAGAACACTACTTATGCACCTAGCTTCTTAACTTTATTGCCTAGTTGTTTGTATTCTCTCATTATTGTACTCAGGTTCTTTGTTGTGTCATTTATCCCAATGTGGTGGAGGAGGAAGGGGTAGTAATTTGTGGGCCTAATTATTTTGGTTAAGTTCTCAGCCACATCTTTGATTTTTGCTCCAGGGAGACAACATACCTTCCTGGATTGTATGTCTGGGCTGCAGATGGAAGATTCTGTTCCTTTGAGGATAGAATCTCCTATTACCAACACTTGCCTTCTTTTTGGGGGAACTGCAGTTTGGGGTGCTTTTCTGTTTTTCTCAGGTGTGTTTGTTGATATGACTTTTTAAGGGATATTTGAAGTGACTTTTTAAGGGATATTTGAAGCTGTTTCTTTGCTAGATATCTGCATGTTTTCTTTGAGGGGGAGGTTATGGATCTGCGTGTTTCCATCTAAGAGGAGAAATCAATTGCTCAGTTTTAATGGGGCTGCTTCCGGTTGGGTTGGATTGGGTAGAAGGGGTTTATTAGTTGTATGCTGCTTCTTTCTTTGAGTAGTGTGTTTCCTTCTATGTGTGACATACCTCCATTTGTCATCCTCCAAGAGTTTATCAGTAGGGTCAAATCCTCTGGGAGTTATTTGTTCATTATTTGGTTCAGTTTGGGCGGAGCTTTCTTTTGTACATTGGGGGTTGGCTAGAGTTGCCTCTAAATTCCTTACTTTTACCTGTAGTAGTTCACCTAATTTACATCTAATGCACATATAGTTTGGGTTTTCTTTGGGCATAAGCACATACATGTAACATGTATTGCATACCACAATGGTATAAGTCACCTCTTCCATGAGTTTGTTGTTTGAAAATCCCTCTTTTTGTTGATGGATGTGCTTTGCTGTTATCCTTGTTTCTAGTTTCTCTGTTCTAGGTATTTATACCTAATTTTCTATCCTTTTTTCTGCCTGTTTGTGCTTATTTTTGTGCCTTGTTATTTTGGAATAGATAAAAGTATGTGGTAGTATGCCCTTTGGTTTTAAGAGAGAAAAATTGCAGTTTGTATTGAGGTTAAAAGTTAGGATAGGGGTATTTAATGAATGGAAGGGCTGCTTTCTCCTTAACAAGGAATTTGCTTTTAGCTTTCTGCTCTCTGCCTAAAAATTCATCCTTATCCTTCCTTTTCTTAATTTGTTCCTTATTTAACTCTATCCTCTCTGCCTTGCTTTTTTGACTGCCTTTCTGTGCTCAGCCGGTCTTTCTAGTTGCCCTCAGTTGCCTTAGCCATTGCCCTGTCTTTGACATTCAGCCAGGTTCTCCCCAGCTGCTGGCCCAGTCCTCCGCTGCTCGCCATCTCTGTCATGCTGCCTTGTCACTGCCTGCAGGCATCCCGGTCCCTGCTGCCACTGGCCACTTCCTCTATGCCACCTCCAGCCACCTCACTGGTCTGCCTTCTCGACGCTGCCCCCAGCTGCCTCACCGGTCAGTAGCTCCGCATTGTTGCTGCCTTCCACCTTCTGCACTGCCCCCAGCTGCCTAACCAGTCAGTAGCTCCACATTGCCACTGGTCACCTCTTCTGCACTGCTCAAGCTGCCGGTGTGCTGTGTCGCCCGGTTTACTATGCTGGTCTCCACTTTGTTGGGCCAGATTGGGTTGCTGGACTGCCAGGCCTTTCAGGTAGGCCTCCATAGGCCTAGAGGTCCTGCAACATCCCCTTTGTGATCCTGCACGGCTAGTCTGTCAGATGGGGGGCCTCCTCTGGTTCCTCTTCGATGGGCTTTGGTCTCTGAGTAGGCCTCTTGGGTGCAGCTGGGCTTCTCTCAGGCAGCAAGTTTGCCGTAGGCCGCTGCTCTTGTTGGTGTTTCCTCCTGATTTCTTGATTTTTTTCCCTCTCCTTTTCCCTTCTCCAGTCTTTTTTCTTTTTCAATAGTCTATTTTTCCTTCTCAACCTCTCCTCCTATCATTTTGTCTTAATTTAATGGCAACTTTTCTCCCTGTGATGTGAGCATGCTTCCTCTGTTGCCACCATTTTGAGTGGAAGCCTTAATCCACGTAATTCCTTGTTCATGGGAATGGTGCGGACCTGCTTGAAGACACTCACCAAATCTTGCTTGTTAGAGTCACACAGAAGCAATCATTTTTGCACCAGCAAAGCGAGCTTCAAGCTTGACACTCATCCTGTATCCTACAGGACTAATCATACATAAGAAAACCAGCATTATCATGTCAAAAGAATTTGATGGGGTATAAGAGAATGTAAAACGAAGTGGAAGAAATGAAATATTGATGTGCTTATATGGTCTATCTGGCACATTCCTTCATCACATTGACTTGTCAATTAGAATGTGTAGGTACAAGTGGAGACCTCTCTGTCTCTTCTGAAAGACTGATAGAGTTAGGTTCACTTGGGCAAGTTGGTAGAGACAAATCTTCAGTTTCTGGCAAAGGCCTGGATTTCCCCAAAGTTGTCTTACATGTTACAGAATGTGGTTAATGGTTGTTTTTTCCACTGAGAGATGATTCTGGGTGGGAGGGTAAAGGAAGCTAAGGAATCCACCAATTGATCCCCTAAAACAGACTTACATTAGATCTGTAAAGACAGAATCACTTGTTGGCCTTATTACTGAGTCATAGAAAATCTTGAAGGAAAGGACAGGATGTTGACATATTTTTCTGCTGATTCAAGAATGAAAGGAGTGCATTATAATGAAGCCATGACAAAGATCCACGGTGTGACAGCAAATCTTGGTTTGCTGCTAATGATGCAACAATCTGGTTCTTTTAGCTAGTCTTGGTCATATTGCCAGGCAGAAATCCCTAGTTATTTCATATCATCTAGAAATGATACAACCAGAAACATACAGTCAAGGGGAAATGAAATAACAGAGTCATTAAGTTGGAAATACCTTTGAGGTCACTTAGAAGATCTTCAATAGGTGGTGAGCCAGCCTTTGTTTGAAACCCTCCAGCGGATTGACTTGTTTGACTATGGAGAGAACAACAATTGCTTTTATAAGAAATTGGAGACCCTTTTTGAACTTTTTGCTGAAAATAAATAAAAATGAACTGGTAATTTCTGGATTTATGAATTAAAAAGTTTTGTTTATGGTTAAAAAGGGAACCATGATATGTACAGTAATTGGGAGGGTAGAGATGGTAATTACTGGAAAATGCTGCCAAAAAAAAAAAAAAGGTTTAAAGTCATTTTCTAGATATCTTTCTTTTTCTCTTTCTCTCTCTTTTGATCTCTTTCACTTTTTTCTTTATTCTTTCACATTTCCTTCTTCTTTCTACTTTTCTTTTTACGCTTCTAGTTTTTTTTAACCTCGTGTGAAATTTTCTTTTAATAAAAATTGTATTAAAGGAAAAGAAAAGAAAACCTCCAGTGAATTATCGCTGATCACTTCATCTGTCTGGCTGTTCCGCTGGGTGGCAATTTGTTGTCAGAAAGTTCCTTCTGATACATAGCTTAAATCTGTTTCTTTGCAATGTTAATCCATTGGTCCAATTTGTCTAATTGTTTTTTGTGTGATAACCTTTCAGACATTTGAAGGTTGCTATAATATCATTCTCCAGTCATCCTTCTGTAGGCTAAACATGTTTACTGTAGATCCTTTAACTGTTTATCATAAAGCATGGTGCATATCAGAATTAAGCAAGGCAAAATAAAAATAACATAAAAATTTAGGTATATACCTATTTATTTATGAATACCGTTTATACCAGCCTTTTTCATACATCATTTTAAAACTGCAAATTAAATATGCAATATCATTGAGAGAGTAACATAAAAGAAGGTGATAGAAAAAAACTACTGGGTAAATGGTAACAAAATATTGTACCAATTTTACTAAGTGGTCACATTAGACAAGATATTGGAAAACTGATTGAAACGTCCATCTCTGTTTTAGACACACACACACAAACAAACAAACACAGATAAACAGACACAGAGAGAAAGAGAGAGAGAGAGACAAATACACAGTTTTCAGATGATTTGCAGTCACTGTAGGTTCTCCTCCCAGGACAATAGCAGCTATGAGAGGGAACAGTTTTTATTAAAGATGTAATGCGAGGATATTACTCCAACTCTGTGTGGATGCTGCTATTGAAATTATTAAAACTAAACTCAAGAATCACAGTGTCTTTATTCATGCCTCATCTAATTTGGCCCTGAGTGCCCCTTGCTATCTAGCTGGAAAATTAATTCTAATTCTAAGCCCTCTTAAATGGGTGTCATTTTAATCCAGGAACCAATTTAGTGAAGTATACTGTACCCAGGGAATTATTATGACAAATGGGAGATCAATTGCATAGATGAAATTGGATTGATTGCCAGGAGTTAGCGTTAGGTTCTTAAACAATCTAATCTCATTCTTGGCTCAGTGGATAAAGGGAATTCAGCATATGTAAGTATATTTACTTTAGCAAAGGACTTTATACAGTTGTCTGTGAAAACTTCACAAATGAAAAAAGTAGCTTTAACATTTTTGACACATTCGGATATGTAGACATGAGGTATATGATACACAAAAGTTACCAGTATGTAGTGAACATGCAATGAAAACTTAATTTATTTCAATCACTCCGTTTGCATGCATTCAAGTAGCACACAACATGAAAAGTGGCACATACAACCCATCCATGTCTGTGCAAATAAGACAAATCCATGTGAGGAGTATGTACGTACTGTATATTATAGCACTTCTAAGGATATTTCAATAGCATAATTTTTATTAGTTTCCACATTGCTTGCATAACATCTAAAACATGCCCAATTAGAGACTTGCTCATGTTTTCTCAACCTGAGGCTTAAACACTTATTCATCTTAATTTCATGCTGTTATGAAATAGGGTGTGCACTAAGAAATGAAAAAGCAGAAATGTAAGAAAACTATACTAGATGTGGATTAAAGTACAAATCTGTTAAAGCCAATAGAAACATCACTATTGAATTAAATGTAGCCAGAATCACACTCTTATGTCTTAGCCCTGATCATTATGAAAAACTAGGACAGTTATTGGGAATTAAGTTCACCCAATGAGAAGAAAGCTGGATGTGCTTGCTTTTCTTAGCTTTATCCTCCACACTTGTCTTATATTTTTTTTTCTCCATACTTTTCACCAACTATCATCATAGGCAGGGGCAAAAATTAAGTCCCACTGCTTCTCCACTCCTGCCACTGCTCCAGTCAGGCTTAATCCCATCAGAATCTCTCAGAAAGATTTTCTTAGACCTCTAGATATGGGCTGCCTAAACTCAGATATTGATGATGATGACAAGGAGAACTTCTGAAATCTTTTTGCTGCCATGATCAAATCATAATCAGATTTTTTTCAGCATAGAAACTTCAACCCTAGATTCTCTTCAATTGTTCCTTTTTAAGCCCAAAGGAGGAATCTGAAAAAAGAAAGAGAAGGGCCTTTGACAATGGCCAGGGAATCTACAAGGTCTTGCAAGGACTATTATTTTCCACCCATGGTGCTGCTCTTAAGATGACAGCTGATCCAAGAGCAGCAGTGGCAATGCTGACAACAGTGGCAGCATTGGCTCTTGCCTCACAGACTCAGTCCCTCTTTCTCTTCTGCCCATCTGCTAGAGTTCTGCTACCGTATCTGGGCTGCTACAATCCCAGCAGGAGTAGGCAACCTTGGCTGGCTCAGGAATTCTGGGAGTTGAAGTCCACGAGTCATAAAAGAGCCAAGGTTGCCTACCCCTGCAGTAGACAGAGCAACAAAGAGATACAGAAAACTCTTCTTCTTTTCTACCATCTAGTAATTCAGGAGATTTATTTTTTTTTGCACATCCATACAGTAGCTTTTCCTTGAACAATTAGAGAAAAAAAATGGTGGCAGGAGAGAACACGATGGAACTTCTGGGCCACTCCCAATGGCTCCTCCCCAAATTCACTATATTTATGTCGCTGCCAGAAGGGCTAAAAATGTAGTCCTTTGGCTGTTTGTGGCCCACCAACTGATATTTGCAAACCCTCCCCTTCAATTCAGGCTATCCAATTGAATCTTCCCTTTGTAATGAGCCAAACACGGAAATGTGATCAAGGTAGCCTCAAGCAAGCATGATCCACCCTCTCATCTCTTCTACTGAAATTATGGGAGGAAGAAAGGAAAACAGGTGTCTGAGGATTGTTTTTTATGTCCAAAAATGAATGACTTCACAATGTTTAAGTATTCATGCTAAGTTGAATAAATCTGAATAATGATTAAGGACACGCAATTACTTCTTTTTTTAAAATTTAAATATCTGTATTCCCATATTTATACATATGTGCAGGAATTCTATAGTTTATTTCAAAAAGCCTCTAAATTCAGTTATAAACACTTCCTCATTCCTTTTCAGGAGCTGAAGCTTTTTTTTTTAAAGGACATGAAATGTATATTGTATGATCTGCTTTATTAAAATGTCTGCCAAATTAGACTTCTGTTCCTTTTTTATTCCTAAATGGCACCTTGAAGCAAAATGTATATCCAGTTCGTGTCATTGCTTTTCCTTCAGCCTATACAGTTTCACGTGTCCTTTGCAATATTTTTTTGCCCACTGCTCTGCTCATGTGGCGAGTGAGCACCGCACTGCAGTGAACAAGTTGTGAAGGTCATCATTTCCACAGGCTGACTTTAATTTCAGGGCTCTATTTCATAGCATGTCAGCTGGGGAATTTGGGGAGTTGGAAGTCCACACATTTTAACTTTGGTAAGACTGAGAAACTGCTCTAGTGGTGTTAACCTCTCTGCTGAACACCTGAGGACAGAAACAAAGGTGGGTAAAAACCTGTAAGCTTTTCCCCACTGCAGAGCTGAAGGGTGCTCCAGTCGTTCTTGGCATTTGCTTCTGGTCCAAGTGCTAATCCTTTTCTGGGTCCATTGGCTTCATTTCCAGTCACTCCTAGTGCCCTGTTTTTGTTTGTTTGTTTGTTTGTTTTGAGGAAAAAGGTGACACCGTAATAGATTCAGCATCCCTTAAGGCTGCCCCAGGATGGAGTCAGAATAAAGAGAAATAAAAAGTTTTTATGCCAATGAACTAAACCTGACTTAAACCTGTGTCACTTGGAGTCTGAGGACAAGATGAAGGGGGAAAATACGTTCATGTGATCTGGAAGCTGAATCCTGGCAACTGAACTTCTTGTTTTGCTGGTTCGAAATGTTTCACAGCTTATCCAAGCAGAATGCAGCCGCGCAGGCAGTTCTTAAGGCCCCTAGAAGGGCCCATGTTACACCACTGCTCCATGGGTTGCCAGTTTGTTTCTGGGTGCAATTCAGGATGTTGATCAACACCTTTAAAGCCCTGCATGGCATAGGTCCAGGCTCCTTAGGGAACCATCTCACCCCGATGGGACTGGCCCGTCCCACCTGCACCAACAAAGGGGGCATACTGCCGATCTGGTTAGCCAAGGAATTTTGGCTGGCGGGATCCAGCAGAAGAGTCTTCTCTGCTGGGATTCCTGCCCTTTGGAACATATTAACCTCTGAGGCGAGATTGGCTTCCAGCCTCCTGACTTTTCACAAGAGCCTTAAGATTTGGCTGTGCCAAATAGCTTGGGGACCCAATGGGGCACCTTCACACTGGAGGTGGCTGACTAATTAAAACCTAATCTCAGCACCCCTACCTCGAGTGTGTCCTCCTTTGCCATCTTGTGTTAATGATTTTTATCTGCTGTGTAATTTTATAATTGATTATTTTAATGGTTTTAATGTTTTTATGTTGTAAGCTGGATATGAGAAAGATGGCAAATGAAAGAATGGATGGATGGATGGATAGATAGATAGATAGATAGATAGATAGATAGATAGATAGATAGATAGATAGATATTCTACCCAAATGACAGTATCTTTACTGACATAGCCCAATTCTGGTCTGAGTCAATACTGACTTTTTTCTTCCATAGCAACTGGTGATAGTGCTCCATTTTCAGGAGATGCATACAATGGAGGCTTTTTGGTCCTGCTTTTCACTGGCAACAGCTTTCCTT